CACAAAGGGCCGGGCCGGGGCCGCCCGCCCCGCGCGGGGACCCCCCGGTAAAAACAACCCGCGCCCCCTCGCCCCGTCCCCATAGCGCCGTGCCCACYCTCCCCATACACACACACACAGCCCCGCGGCGGACATGGGGGGCGCCCCCCAAAATACCTCCCCCCCCCCGAGGGGCGCCCCCCACCAAGGGGCTCTGGCGGCCCCGGCGCCCCTCCCCCCGCGCGCCCGCCTCCCTCCCCGCGCGCACACAAAGGGCCGGAGGGGGCCGCCTTTCCCCCGGGGTTTGCGCCCCAAGATGGAGGCGGGCGCCCCCCATACGCACCGTGCCGGCAAGGGGGCCGTGTGGGGCTGCTGCTCCGCCGGCTGTCAGGGCGCCCGGCGGCCGCGGCGGCGCGGATGACGGGGGATTGGGGAGCGCTGCTGGCGGCCGTGCGCGGCGCGGCGCGGCGCGTCCCTCCTCCGCCTCGCTCGGCTCGGCTCGGCTCAGCTCGGCGCGGCGCGGCGCTGCCTGCCGCCTGCCGCCCGCTCCCCTGCAGCCGCCGTGTGCTCGGCGCAGCCCGGCGCTCACCCAGTTTCCATTGAGCCCCGGAGCCAAACCCACTGATGTCACCCGGCGCAGCCCCGGCCCTCCTCCGCCACCCGCCCGCCCGCCGCCGTTAAAGGCGCAACCGCCGCCGCGCTCCGCCGCCGTTGCCCGCGCCCCGCGCCCATTTTGCGCCCCTCGGCGACTGGCCCCCACGCGCGGGGCTCGGCGAGGGTCTCCCCGCACCCCGTGGGGCTCCATGAGGCTCCTGCTGGGGCAGCCCCATGCATGGGACCCCTTTGGGCTGTCCTTTCCCCTCAGCCCCACGCCATGGTCGTTACATGGGGTGTCATCATCTCGGCTGCCTTGTCCGGCCCCATCCTCCCGTCTCTGCCCCGTGGCAGGATCTGTGGCCATCCAGGACAGGTCCGGGATATCCATGGCCGCTCCTCCTATCCAYGGTGCGCTCAAACCCCGAGCAGGGAGTTAGCGAGGGGCTCTGTGAGATGTTAAAGCGATTCCTGCCTTGTAACATCTGCTGGAGAAAGGCCAGTGCTTTGCAACCCAGGCCCCTTGGAAACACCGGGCACCCCATGGGCAAAGTGCTACAAACGTCAACGTGCACGTAAAATCACACGCGTACACCTAAGTGCGCACACACACTGGCTCGCAAACTTAACTCAGCAGCACACACTGGAATGGGAGGGTGCCAACCAACCGAAGGATCCTGCCGGGGTCCTGAGGTGTTTGGGTGCCGATGCCCCTTTCCGTGTGCAGCCGGACCTTTGGAGCCRCGCCATGGGTGCTCCGCGCAGGCCRAGGCTCCCCTTTAGCGTCAGTCTTGGGCTCGGAGGAAGGAGATTGGGGTTCTCCTCCTGGTGCTGTGCAAGCCCAAGTCGTGGCTGCAAACAAGCCAGGGAATGCTCTGAACTACGTGTGAGGGCACAGGTTTGTTAGGGTGTATTTATTGAGATGTGTTTATGCCTACAAGCACACAGAACATGTACAAAATTCCTACATCTCCATAAACCCATTAAGAAAGCCTTCTGGAAAATGCACAGAAACACTAGTGCAGCGCTGGCCTTYACCAACACCTCACCAAAGGACTCTTACCCCCATAGGGTGCCAAGGGGCCATCATTCTTCTGGGAAGCAYGGGAAGAGGCACAGGGAGAGCAGTGGGCAAGTTTCACCAAGAAGGGGTTGAAGATGAAGACTACCTGCCTGTAGCAACCACATGCTACAGTTAGCACAGTGGAACTGAACACTCAGGGCTGGAGAAGTGGCACGTGGAGATGAAGACAGCAAGAGTGGGCACGGGAGGAGAAGCCAAAGTATTTCATCTGCACTAAGGTGTAACAGCAGAGCTGAGGCAGGGGAGGCACTTGAGGGCTAGAGGGAGGTTGGAAGAGGTGGGAGGTTAGGGTTGAACTGGCAAAGAGTGACTGAAGGGTCTGTGCTGGGCAAGACTCAAATGGAAAGGGCTAGTGTGGGAAAAGGCTAGAGAGGAGAAGCAGCACATGGAGCTGGTGGACAGCAATGTTAGATCAGCATTCAGGTGCTTGGGCAGAGCCCACCTGAGAGGAGCCTGAATGGAGGAGCAGGAAAGCTGCGGCACAGGGCTTAGGTTGGTTCAACTGACAAGGCGTAACGGAGCTTTTTTCTGATTTCCTTAACAAGGCTTAACCCCTGCTCAACCCATAAAGACGGGCTCCGGAGGAGCAGGAACAGTGTCTGCAACCTTCCTCGCTTTGCCTTTTCAGCTCCGCCTCCGGGTGAAGGCAGATCCAGCGTCTGTGAATGATACAGGCAGCTGCAGATAAGAACGTGTCATAACAACATACCAGGTCATCTCTGAATCCTCCCTGAGCCAGCAGGACTGCAGGAACTCATTGTGAGCCCGGGGATCCACTCACCCTTTTGCCACGGGGTGCTTAGCAGGATGCGTAGAGCTGTGCTGGTGTCAGAAAGGGCACCTGGACCAGGYCCAGATGGGGGGGCCTAGCTGGCACTTGAGGCGGGACTGGAAAGGCGGGAGGATATTTTTCAGTAAGTTCAGGGATGCTCTCAGAGCTGCTGAAGCACCAGTGAGGCAGGAGGAGAGGCAGAGCCAAAAAATGCTTAGGAAAAGGGTAAGTAGGCAAATAGGCTGCAGACGGCAGGGTGGAAGTGAGGTGCAGTAGTACAGACCTAGAACCAGGAGTGCAGAAGGACTTTGGAGGTCAACCTAAGTGAGAGGTAAGGGAACAGATGTAGGCACTGTAGAGGGYGAGCCAGATACTTCCAAGCTTTGCCAATATCAAGATGCCCTCATTAGGGTGGAGCTGCACTGACAGAGTAAAGTCAAGAACTGCAATTCATTTAGTCAGGCCATGGGTAAAAGCAGATAAGCCTAACTGGGGAGTGTGTAAGCGAGGGATGAGCATGTAGTGCAACACCCTCTGAACGCTCTCCCGACCTCTAGGAATCGGCAGCAGAAGCACCCCTGGGTCACAGGTGGTGCCTCTGTGCTCAGCAGCCCCACAACCTGCCRCTTTCTGAGGCTATCTCAACTTCGAAATGCACAGCTAAGCACAGGCTGTTGAGATCAAGCAGCAGAACTAGATGCACTCCACYATCCCATGCAGCTCCACCAGCATCATGCAACCCAGAAAGTAGGGCTTGCTTTAAGTTGTGCAAAGAATATGGACCAYAGTCCGCTCAATCCTTCCCTTCCAGTAAGTCTGTAACCAGTCACCACAAACATTGATTTGATGGGCCTCTGAGATGTGTTGTTCTACACAATGCTCTGCAAATGCACGCCACTGCCCTCTGTCACTTCCAGGCTAGTTTTATCACAGAACTTGGTCTCCATTCTTAGAAGTTAAAATTTAATTGAGTTTTTCATAGTAATGACATTTTCTTACACATGCTCCATTGAACTTCTGTAGTTTCACAGCTTACATAACAGTGAACAGATGGGAAGATAGGTAATAAAACAGACAGTTCCTTGCAAAAGGCTGGGAGMTGAATTCAGCCAAGGGCTTGCCCTCCTATCCCAGCAGGTGAGCATCAGTTTATCAGGGTATTTGCTGAAGTTCAACACAAGACACAACGTCCCCTGTGCTGGCAGACATGAGGYAGGCCCACAGAAGCAATAAGCAGAGGAGATTCTGCTGGGACATCGGAAGGACAGGTCTGAAGCACATCCTCGAAGAGTCTGAGGGTGCTTCTGCTCAGGGACAAGCTCCCAGGACAGTGGGGCAGTGTGAGGCCCACAACAAATTGTCCCCAGGGTGATAATGCCAAAGGGAGCAGCACTCTTGCACAGGGATGTTGCTTGTGTCACTGATTGGCATTTACACCAAAGAAGGTACTGCCAGTGTAACCCAGAATATTTTTCCCATCCTGTATGTAATGAGTAGCACTCTTCTCACCACTTATCCTTTTCTTTCCCTGCTACAGCTAGTAATATGTTTGTTCTTCTCCACCCTGAGATGCTTTCAGCACCTTCTCCTGCATTCCCTAGGTTTGAGAGGTGCCGTGTCAGCTCTTGGTGTGGCAGGTGGATGCAGAGTTTGGGGTGATGCTACCTACATTAGCTCTCCCACTGTTTTGGTGGTCATGGCATAAGGCCTGGGCTGAGGTGGCAGGAGAGATTTGGAAGAAATCCCAAATATAGACGTGGCCCTTGAGGGTGAAATAAGAATATGTGTACAGACATTTGTGCTACCTTTATTTAAACCATTTAGAACTTATTTTAAGTTCTTATTTTAAGACGTCTTTAATTAGAAACATTCCCTTAATTGAATTGTAATCAAGCTTTTAGTGCTGTTAGCCTGGCTAACTGTGTGATCTAATAACACCCACCTACTTCTCTCCAAGAGCGCTTAGTTACACCTCTTCTTCTGAAGCCACTTGTCCCAGGGCCAGGGACTGCTTTGTGTGTGACAGACAGGGGAGCCCCTGTCTTCATCAGGGCTTTCAGTGCTCCAGTAATAAACAGGTAATTCCTGCCCCAGTGTCTGAAAAACACAAGCAGCTGGRCCCCAACTGCAAAGAGGTGGGGAATGAAAAGGGAAGAAATTTAAGGGACTGGAGGAATCCACACAGAGCCTCTACTGGGGCATCTCCATTCCTCTCCAGTTACCAAACTGGTCCTCAGCAGTTGTCACGGACATCTCTTGCTCTCTGTGCCCCACTCCCCCAAAAGGTGAACATCCCCTCGTGTCTAGCCGTGTATTAGGAACCAGAACACAACAACAAAGGTGCATTTAGGCTTTGCCTAAAATACAGCACCTGGAAGGCTGTCCAACATCTGAGGCCAAACAGTGAGCCCTAGCTGTGCTCTAACTTCTCGTCAGCATGAAACTCTGGGCAGTCTCTCCTCACCCCTTCTCCCTGGCTTCCTGGGGATGATCTTGAGTGCAGAGCATGGAAGAGTCATGACATGCTGCAGAGAGGTCCATTAGCTCAGTGACTGGAGGACGTGGACCTGGAAATTTTTCTGGTATCTGCTTTTCTTAGTGTCTGGAGGTGGCCAAAGCATCCCTAGATGATCTAGGGAGTGTTGTTGCTGAAGGCTGGTAGACAAAAGATGGGCTGCACAGGATGGCTGTGCTGGTGGGCCGTTTAGGTGACCTTCTGTTACCACGGGAAGGTCGTTGGGCAGTCCTGGTGCTCATGCTTTRGTGCTGTAGTGAGAATCCAGTGCAATGTGCTGCAGGCTGAGTGATGGAGGGAGTTTGGCCAGCACTGCTGAGTGCCTGGAGYTGTTGGAAAGGTGCTTGCTGGCTGCTATATACAAGGAGGATTTATCTCAGTGGGCACACAGCCAATGTCATCACTGTTGGCCATTTCATTCCTTGCAAAGGGAAGGAGGACCTGAGTTGCCCTGTTTT